ATAAAAACAATATTTTTAATAAAATAAAATGACCAAAATACCTCTAAAAATTTCAAAGGGGTATTTTGGTAATTATATTTATCAAAAAATTATTTTTAATATTTTTTATAGGTGCGCCCCAATGAGAAGATGGCACATACCAAATTTCATATTCATAAAATTTCTTTAAAAAAACTAAAAATAAAATACTTTGAGATGTCCAATCTAAGATCAAACGGTGAGTGGCTCTCTTGATCAAAATTGAACGGCTGGATGGTAGGGGAAGCATAGATCTTCTATGCTGTAGAGGAACTATAAAAATCTTTCCCTTATAAGATTGGTCTTGAGCGGTTGGCTGCGGACACTTAAAAAAACCACTAGTAAATAGAGAACAAGACATTGAAATATTCGATTTTTAGAAATTTCATGTAGTTTGGTATCCGAGAAAAAAGCTAAAATGATGATGATATAATCTGAGACCTTATTCTCTCTTGTATTGCGCATGAGTTTTTTAAAATCAAAGCACGTCGAGGATTTGGTTTGTACTCAAGACCGTTTGTGTACATCCACATATAACTTATTTTTTATTTGAAGCAGATTAATTATTGCTTAGATTATCATGGCCACTTTAATTTTTGATGAGTGTATGAGAGAGAGCGAGAGTGTATGAGAGAGAGAGAGGATGGGCCAGCTGGGCCGGGTTAGACCGGCCAGGAGCAAAGACACACGGGGCCAGACTAGACCGGCCAGGAGCAAAAACACACAGGGTCGGGCCAGGCCAGCATGGGCCACAAGAAAGACCCACAGAGCAAGGCCAAGGCAAAGGCTTCTTGAGCCTAGACTGGGTCAAGCGGGCCCCGCCAACCTTAGCCTGGCCCGTTTCCTGGCCTATAGTGCCATGGCCCCAAAAGACCAAGTGTCAATCGAAATGAATTAATGTAGCAAAACGTCTCTTATTCAACATTGTTAAAGGGATTGGTGCTCCTATTCCTATAAGCAAAGTACTTAAATTTAGTTGTCCTCGAACATTTGTGATTCTATTTGTTCCTTTTTCGCTCATAAGCGTTGTGCAGTCTCTTTTTTGAAAAAATTCCTCCCAAATAAGTCGAGTGAATAGAAATATGCTCGGAAGTATAGTATACATGCTCTAAAAAAAGTCGAAAAAAGGGAAGAAGCAAGCATGAACTCCATGCTCTGGTGTAGCAGTCCTAAAACACGCAGCACGAAAGTTTCACTGCACCTCCTAACACACCCTCTCCTAATTCCATTTTACACCACCTGGCCTCAAATCTATATAACAATATGCTATGAACCCCCAAACCTGCAATTATCAGCTTGATTGATTAAGATAATATGGCGAAAAATGTTGTTCTCTTCTTTACTCTCATTGTTCTTGGTTCTAGCATTGCTCAACAAACTCCTCAATGCCAAGAGATGCAAAGGGAGGAAATGGTTAGAGATCTCACGCCATGTCTCAGCTATCTGACTGCTGATGTGAACAGCCCGGACACGCTGTGTTGCAGCGGTGTGCAGAATGTGAATGCGGGTGCTAACAGCCGGGATATGAGGCAGTCCATCTGTGTATGCCTCAAGGAAGTCGCCAATGGCATCCTGAATCTCAAAGACGATCGCGCCGCGGCACTCCCGGGGCTGTGCGGGGTGAAGCTGAACATCCCCATCTCTAAGAGCACTGACTGCACCAAGTGACTCTCTTTCTCATGAACACTAACATACACACACGTGCTCACAAACACCCTTAACCGTAGAGTGATGGCCTCCGGACTGGCCAAGGCAAGGCCCAAAAAAGCCCAAAATGTTCATTTTTTGGGCCTGGCCTGAACCAGTGGGAAAACGTTCTTCCATACCAAGCCCATGCCCGGCTCAAAAAGAGAGTAAAAAAACCGAGTTTTTTTAACGGAAATCATATATATCTGTATTTTATATTTTTTAAAAAAAACTTTTTTAAAAAAAAAAATCGTCTTCTCTATAACTTTGTTTCTGTATTAACTTAATATTATTGAATTTTGGTTTAAAGATAAACAAATTAACAATAACAGTACATTAAAAATCTTAATTTAACAAAAAATTCCATCGAAGATTTCACCAATAAGTTCCTTTAAAAATATTGTACAAACTCCAAAATAATAAGATATCAAAGTGATTCTATATTTCAAAATAATACGTAATGTTAAAAGAAGAGTATCCCAATGGAAAATCTTATATTTTCTGTGAACCGAGAGCATCTTTATAAAAAGAAAGAGGGAGATTCAATACAGAAAATAAATGTTTACTGATTCCCAATTTTTGCTGGTTAACATGATATGTGGAAAGTATTTGGTGAGTGGTCCATGGTCCTTACGATCCTATATCTCAAAAATAATAGGTAATGTTAAAAGAAGAGTATCCTAATGGAAAATTATTTTCTGTAAACCCAAAGTATCTTTATAAAAAGAAAGAGAGATTTTCAGTGATGTAAATATTTAGGTAGGGCGATTTTTAGAGAAAATAAATGTTTACTGCTTCCCAATTTTTGCCGGTTCACATGATGCGGAAAGCATTTCGTGAGTGGTCCGTGGCCGCCCTAGGTTTTAAAGGATAATCCTTGAAAAATTGAAATGCATGGTCTAAAAAATAATACAAAATAGATCATCTTCAAAGGTTAATACTTATTTAGTTTTTTCAAATTCAAGATCTTAGTGGTTGAGATATTCAACCTACCAAATTTTAGGTACATATAATTTTTTAACATGTAGAACATGCAATAAATAAATAGATTTTTAAATTAAAAATATAAGTATTTTTTTTTTCCAAACAATTAATTTTACCTTATTGGTGGAAAGACTATAACTCCACATCCATCTTAATCCATTTTTAAGGTGGATGTAGGATGCCCTAAAAATGGTGTAGCTCGAGAAAAGTCAATAAACACTGAAAATTTGAAAATGAACAGTCTTGATAATATATTACAATATGCACTACTTTTTGGTTTTTAAATCATTTTTTTCTTTTATGTTCATATATCTCGAGATCGAGACGACCAATTTTGATATTTTTTGACGTCGTAGAAATCATTTGTGTAGATCTTTGAGGTGCACTTTACTTCCATACTATAGTTGACACGTTATACAAACTTTTTTTGGACCGGTTTGGATGGGTTGCTTGGAAAATAGCGACAAATCCAATTATCCAATGTAATCCAAGCCATTTGGACATGTTTGGATCACCCCTCTTTTGGATATGGCACCTACAGACAGCTCTTTTGCTGTCTGATTTGACTGTGGCTGGACCGCTTGCAAGCAAACAGCTTGTTCTGTAACACGTTTTTGTGGAATTATCGATGGCCTAAATTTTGTGGAATTAAGGGGCCGTTATTTGGTATAACGGTAAAAAGGCTCAGGTAGGGTTCGAATTTTAAGAGCGGTCACTTTGTTCATATGCCAAAGGTTAAGACCGTTTTTAGCCCACCCATCCTGAGAACCTGTTTAGGCGGGACCAACACCGAGTTAGGGCCTTTTATTTATGGAAAAGGTTTATATAAGGTTGCCACCTTAAAATGTAGAATCACAGATGCACCTGAAAAACATATCGAAAATGTTGTTTTAATATTGAAAAAGCCCTTCAATAAATCATCTTGACATCGAGATCTATGAAGATGAAAAAAAAAAAGTTTTTGAATCTCAAAAATAGTGCATCTTGCAATACATTATCTAGACCGTCCATTTTCAAGATTTTCATATATTTATAGATCTTCTTGATTTTTACCATTTTTAGAATTTAAAATTTTCTAATTAGGTATGAAAATAAATTTAAAGATAATACTAAGAATTTTTTACAACAAAATTATATGTTATGATAAAATTTTAAAGTGAACCTTAATTGGATTGGTTAAGGTTGCAACCTTAAAAAAATCGCACCCTTTATTTATTTATTTATGAATGGCCCAAATATTTCAAGCAACCAACCCCTTGGTTTTTAAAAAGCTCCCTGTGTCTCTCTCTCTCTCAATCTTGATTTAGATAACTTATTACTTTTATTGTTATCATTTGTGCAGAATCACTTGAGGAAGATTGTCGTCTTACCTCCACAAACAACCCAAGATCACTTTGAATAAACAATAAATTGTAATCTAAGTGATATTGAAGATGCTCTGTCATGTGAACTCTTTCTTCGATGCAAGCTTCTATCATGTTGTTTTGCTTTCTAGTTTCTCTGTCTGTCACAATTTCTCCCTATCATATCATAGTTTGATATTTTAAAAGCCGGGACTATTAGGCCAAATCAGGCATTGCACCAATCCGAACGGCCGCTTCAAGCCGATTTTTCTAGAGCAAGAATTGGTTAGAGGAAAGGTTAGATAATAATTTTAAATTTGAAAGTTGGGTAATTGAAAAAATAATAAAAAGGGGTTGGAATTGGGGGATTCAGCTTGTCCGGATCACCTAATTCCCGGATATACTCACTTGTTTCTTTGATAGAACCAAGTCGATCAAAACTAGACCGATTCTCTATTCGGACTAAAAATTGGGCTGGTACCATCAATTCAATTTGAATCTCCCAATCCCGATCGGATTGAGAATTTTTAGAATATTAATTTCATGGGATGACCACAATTTAATGTGTCTTTGGCCCTATTGTGTTACAAACAAAAATGTTTACAAACAGTGGGGAAGGGAAAATGGGAGGCTTGTGCGCTCTGGTGATGGAATTCAGAATCAAGGAAAGGCACCCTTGATGCTTTTCGGATCTTAAAAGTTGGGGATTTAACATGTAGAACCTAGCAAGCAACATCAAAGAGCAAATAAATATATAAGTCGCTCTATGTGCCTCAAAGAAATTAATATCCCAGGATTGAACAAGACCATCTAATTTCAAAGGGAAAGATCTAGGTGTTCAAGATTTTAAAATTTAATTTTTTTTCTTCAAAATGATCATCTGATGTAGGGGTGGCAACGGGTCGGGTCGGG